ATTTTCATTGGTATGCTTAATGGCAATAATTATAGAAATAATTTATTAAAACAGCAAAGATATGAATGAATGAATGAATGAGTGTGGCAGTAATTCCTGAAGACAAGACCTCAGCCCTGCATATATCGTCCCTGGATTAATTAAGCAAGCAAGCCAAAAAAACAATGTCTTTTTTAGATAAGGGTTCTGACTCTGTGGCCCAGGCTGGAGGGTACTGGCGCAATCTCGGCTCACTGCAGCCTCAACCTCCCAGATTCTGGTGATCCTCCCACCTCAGCAGCCTCAACCTCCCGGGCTCAGGTGATCCTCTGGCCTCAGTCTTTCAAGCAGTTGGGCACCTGCCTCGCCCAGCTTGGTTCTCCTTCCCATGGGACGTGTGTCGTGTGTGTGTGTGTGTGCGTGCGTGTGCGTGTGTGTGTGTGTGTGTGTGTGTGTGTGTGTACTGGCACAGAGCCATCGTTGGAATTTGGTTTTCTGCTGGGGGAGTGGAGGCAAGCAGAAAATCTCCACTTTCCCAGTGAGAAAACAGGAACTCTGCAACTGGACCAAAGCAGCAGCTAGAGAGAAACGTAAAATCTTCCAGAGTGCTTGCTCCCTGTAGACTTCCTAGGACTTCCTATTTCCACCTCGCAGGGTTGGCTCACAGACTCAAAGCAGCCCCTGCCAAACCGGGCAGGTGCGAAGGGGACCAGTGCGGCCTGCCTTCTGCAGGGTTTCACAGCAACACATTTTGAATAATTTCAAAGTTATTGAGCATTTCACTATTTCTAATATTCACACCTGTGATGCATATGGCATCTAATATACTCAGTAAGCTGTTGATGGTCAAAACAACTAGCTAATGCCATGATGAAAATGGTCACTGCCATCAAAACACACAGCGTTGGGATCCTGATTTCTCTGGGGCTGTTTCTCCAACATCAGATGAAGAGGAAATATCCAGTCTGGCCTGGGGCAGTCTAGTGGTGAGAAGCCAAAATTCTGGCGAACACTTTCAAGTTGACAGAAAACGTATGCATCCGCAAAAATTCATCCTTGTTCCCATACCGGGAGTCGAACCCGGGCCGCCTGGGTGAAAACCAGGAATCCTAACCGCTAGACCATATGGGAACTGGTGAAAGGTGGCGCCACAATCTCTATATATGTGATATGCATCAGCTTCGCACCAGCCCTCCCTACCACTGCTGCGCAGCACTGGACTCCTGCTGTCTCCGCGGAAACTCGTGTGACTGCAGCCGCGCCAGACCCGCTGCCTGGACCCCTCCCGACTTAGCTTTGGTGGGACAAGCCGCCTTCCCCCTGAAGGCAGAATCCACTTTCCTGACGGTCTCCCTGAAAGCTGGAGTCAGGGCAGAAGGTCAGGGCAGCGAGTCAAGGATGCTTTGCTGAAGATTTGCTGTCGTCATCAACCCCATTTACAGAGCCGGTGGCCTCGCCCTGACGGGTGCACGGCCACCTGAGAGCCCAGCCCCAAGCCAGGGGTGGGACCTGCGTGCCCACCCTGGCAGCGAAGGGTGTGCCTCACGGGGTCGCACCTCATCGGGGAAGAATTTGTGGCCCCAGCAAAATTGACTTATTTTTTCCCTTACTTTGGCTTCAGAATCTCACTGACACTTCGTGGACAGCATCTTATGAAACGCAACCTTTGGTGAGGGCTGGAGGCAGGTATGTTTTTCCTGCAGTCACGGGGGCTCCATTTGAGCTCCCCCATTAGTCTTTTCCCTGGCAACTCAAGGTCAACAGGGCCAATAAACGACCGCTAAACCCAATGACAAATGTGCCCTACGGGGATTATGTTAAAGGTTCACGATATGAAACAGTGTACTGGCGTATTGACAGTAAGGTCCACGAAACAGAATGAAAACCCCCAAATTACATTGGGTTTACACTGGGAATCAGCAAAACTAAGATTAATCGACATGCAGCATGCGGGTGAATGGTAGAAAAGCTGGACAGGACTCACTGGACATTTCAACAGAAACCAGAGGTTCTTGAAAATGCTGGATGTGGGAATTAGAAAAGTTTCTTTTTAAAGTTTCCTTTCTTGTTAAAAAATAAGTGTGCCAATAACTTTCCTACTCCAGCCAGCAAGATGTTAAAAAAGGGTTAAGGTATGTCAGAACATTGTAAGAGAATGTATGAAAGAAAGCGAGACAGGAAGTAACACTAAAGAAATAGTGTAAAGAGAAAAGAGAGAAACTTTTTCTTTTAGAAACTTGGGCAGAATAACTAAGCCAAGACATGTTAAAAAAAAAAGCGGGGGGAGGGTTAAAAAGGAAAATTATAAAGTAAAAAAGGAGGGAATTGTGGGAAGTAGAAAAGTTCCTTTTTAAATTTTCCTTTCTGTTAAGTCCTATCCTATGTAGGTGTTTAACATGCCATGCTTACAGGCACGTAGTATATTCCTTTTTTTTTTTGAGACGGAGTTTCGCTCCTTACCCAGGCTGGAGTGCAATGGCGCGATCTCGGCTCACCGCAACCTCTGCCTCCTGGGCTCAAGCAATTCTCCTGCCTCAGCCTCCTAAGTAGCTGGGATTACAGGCACGCGCCACCACGCCCAGCTAGTTTTTTGTGTTTTTAGTAGAGACGGGGTTTCACCATGTTGACCAGGATGGTCTCGATCTCTCGACCTCGTGATCCACCTGCCTCAGCCTCCCAAAGTGCTGGGATTACAGGCTTGAGCCACCGCGCACGGCCCAGGCATGTAGTATATTCTATATCTCTGTATTTTAACCAAGATATCTGTGCTGGACATGCTCACAGGCATGTCCCAGCTCCCCAGTGCTTTTACCTGTTTATAAAAGTTTTATGTTATTAGCCAACTGGGTTTTAGATTGTGAGGTCTGGCTTCAGCCAATGGAGATCAGACACGGCAGTAAAGGAAGACGACCCCGAAAGTGTAAGAAATAAATCTCTGTGTTCTCCTTTGTTCTTTGTATTCTTGTGGCACAATGGCTACCAGGAGTACCCTCCCTGCAGTCCAGGAAGTAAAAATTGCGTTACTGAAAGATCCCTTGTTGTGGGGAACATTCCCGTGTGAGACCCCTAAAAGGCGTGAGTCTCACTATACGGTGAGTTTGATCCCAAACACAGTTTCCTACTGGAGGCAGTCGAGCTATCCAGAAATACAGGAACTGAAAGATGAATGATCAGTTTCTAATATCAACCACAATATTGTTTGGGCCCAAAACTATGCGTTGCTGCTAGACTGAGTGACCCCCTACCGGCAACCAGTTCCTGCTTTTAACCTTTTTATGACTTTAAGAATAATCCTTAAACCTTACTTACCAGACTGCCTTATACCCTAGATAATGGTTTAACAAAGCAAATGCCACCATAAGGGATGGCTTTGATTCCTGACTCAGAGATTCCTGAATGGGGAAATTGAGTTAAGTTGAGTTAGGAGTAGACAAAGGAGAATCCGGTTAAAAGATATTCTGATAAGCAAAACCAGAGATACCTGCAGCCAGGAGGAATAATGTCTGGATGTAAACAAGCTTTGTGATCACAGGAAATTGTTACCTTTTACAACCACTGATTGTATATCTGACTTTTCAATTGTATAAGCCATGTAAGGTATACATTTGTATTTCCTCTTGCAACCATTGTGTATTTGACTTCTCTATTGTATAGGCCATGTGAGGCATACATTTACATTCCTCTTACTATGACGTAAACCAAAGCCAAGAAAGTGTATTTATTCCTGGCCTTTGAAAAATAAAATTTGCTGTTTAGGCACAGCCTATCAGCCCTCCAGACGCCTCGCTTTCTCTCTCTCTGTCTTTATTATTTTCCCAGGCGCACTCCCTCTTCCAGGTATTGGGACCCTCTTGCAGGTCGAGAGACCCCCGGGCAGACGTGCCTACCCGTCCCGGACGGTCCACGACACCTTGTCTCAGTGCTAATTTTTCTTTGTGGCACTGAGCATCTATTTCCAACATCTATTTCCAACACTGGAGAATTCCCTTATTGCCTTATCAATTACACCACCAAATTCAGAAATCATGTGAAAGCTGCATACATTCAACTCTACATACATACACTGATCAAAAAACACAAGAGTTGGGTAGTGGTTAGCATCCTTTTACCGTAGTTATTCATTAAGTTATTCAACTGTTTTGTGCAGTTTGATGTAGCATATTTTATTTAACAATAAAAAGTCAAAAAATTATAAGTGAAAAGATAAACTGGATAAAAAGATTTACATCTTATATATATGAACAAAGGACTAATTCCACCCCCGCCCCCGCCAAACATAAACAGCCCCTAGAAATGATTGCAAAGATCAACAATCCAGCAGAAAAATGAATGAAGTTCCCAGAATAGAAAATACAAGTGGCCCTTCAAAAAAAATGAAGAGAGGCTACGGTAAGATAAAGAGGCAGGATTTTAAACACTTAGGTCTCTTCCTCTAGTTTCCTTAAAAATCTAGGCCAGGTCATTTTGACTTTCTGGCTTAGACCCACCAAGGGCTGCCCACCTTCTCAGGCATTTGTATCTTTGTTGACTCAAGTCACACTGCCCTGATCACTCGGCCGAGTACGGTTTTCTCCTCCAGAAAAGTCAACTTGTGGAGGATGTAGTAAACATGAAGTAAACTTCCTGTCCCCCCCCACCTCTCTTCTCACAGTGGCCTATCATCCAGCCATGACAGCACAGCTGAGTGATCCAACAGGCAGTTCCAATTGTTGACTAACGTGTACCTGCCCATGTGAGTGTGTCGCATGGGAAACCAGGCCTCAGAATGGTTTCAAAGTAGTGGCTTTCAAAATTACTGTTTGTGTCTTCAAACTTCACACCGAAGGAAGATCGAAACATGCAGAGCAGGGGGACGGAGGGGGCATTAGCTGGCATGGGGTAGGGGAAAGAGCTATTTGTGAAGGAAGAACGCCTGAGATCAAGCAGCCACGTCCGAGGAGAGCCGTGCTCACTGGCCTGCCTCTGTGCACGCACATCAGGCAGCACCAGGCTCGAGCTGCTTGAGTTTCTCTTGGAGCCCCCGGATCTGGTTTCGACCCCAGTCGATGCGGTTCTGAAGGCTGGCTATGTCTGCAGCCAGCTGCAGGCCTGGAGGAAAGGAAAGAACGTCACCAAGGTATCTGTGGTATAACACGTGACTCAGGAGGATCTGGACATCCCAGGATACTGGAAAGGCTCCAGGCCTCTCTGATCCCCACACTTGTCCAAAACATTCCAGGTACAGCCCTGCACTGGCTGCTCCAGAACGTCCGCAGCCTTACACCCCCTTCAGGTCTTTGCTAAAATGTTACCTCAGACTTCCTGGACCCATTATATCACCCACCAGGAACTAAAAATTCAGAGAGTAATAGCATCTCATGCCCTCATTTCCTCCCTCGCCCCATTATTACAGCCCCTCGCTGCCCTCACCTGCTCTCCCTCCAGTTCTTTTCTTTGCCCCAAGAGTCGTCCATACTCTGGGTCCACCTCTGGGTGGCTTATGCCTGATGTCTCTCTGGAACAGCTGCTGCCCAGGCCTCCGGCAGCCCTCAGTCTTCAGCCTCCTGTTCAGCAGCAGGGCTGACCACTCTTCCAGGAAATACTCTCTCTTCTTGGCCTCCAGGACACCTGCCCCCGCGTGTTGCTCCTCCGTTTCCTTGACTGGCTTCTCCCCTCCTCTCCCTCATCTCCCATCCATACTCCCCAGGCCCTCTTCTGATCTCATCCTGTCTCAGCTTTAAATCACTGTTTGTGTCAACATCTTTGAAATTTTAACAACAGTGCTATGCAGTGGACTCCCAAATCTCTCTCCAGCCCAGGCCTCTCCAAGACTCCAGATTTATGTGCCCAAGTGCCCAAATGCCCACTCAAACTCTCCAGCAGGGCTTTGGTGGACACCACACGGACCACATCGACTCCTGCCTTCCACCACATCTTCAGCTGCCCACAGCAGGTGAGGGTCGCTTCATTCTCCCAGGGGTTCTGGGGCGGAGACCGCTGGCTCTCCTGGACTCTCCTTTCCTTCCCTTACTTCCACCTTATCTGTCAGTAAATTCCGGGGTTTCTACTCTTAAAACCTGTGCAGGTTCCCACCACTTACCCTCTCCTCCGGTGACTCTACCGGCATCTCACCCTGGCTGCTCCCTGACCCCTGCTTCCTCCCTCTGCTCTGTGTCCCCACTCAGCACCCAAGGATTCCTGTGACCCTGTGCATCCGGTTGCACCATCCTCTGCTCAGGGCCTCCCTGTGGCTCCCAAAGTCTTCATCCGGGCCTACATCACCTGACTCCACTCTAGCCCACTGGTTGCGGCACACACCAGATCTATCTGGCTTCAAGGCTTTCATCCTGACTGGTCCCTCCATCTAGAGCACTGTTCCCCAAAATCACCCCCAAAGCTTTTCCTTCACCACTTCAGAGAGACCTCACCTGTCCCACTCCATTCTGTGTTTTTCATAACAATTTTCACAGCCTGACTTAGGTTAAGGGCCTACTTACTTATTTGCACATTGCCTTTCTCTGCTCCTAAACATTACATGAAAGGTGTTTGTCTCTTTTGTTCCCTGCTGTTTAACCCCCGCAGCTAGCATGAACCTGAATGTGGCCAACAGCCAGTAAATGCTTTTTGGAAAAAAACAATGGGTATACAACAGAAGTTTGCAATGGAAAAAAAACCTGCAAAGACTTTCAGAGACTAACCGAAGTCATGGCAGCAGTGTGCAAGTACTTCCTGTGGATAGAGGGTCTGAATTTAGCCCAGGGCCACACAGCCAAATGGCAGGGTGCACTCACCATCCCGGAAACTTGCTTGAGCCTGGCGTAGACTGTGAGGAACCAGGATTCCAAACCAGTTCAGGGGGTCCTGAGGGGCCTCAGAAGACTGTGGCTCTGGGGTCTTAGCGGGGCCCTTGCGCCTGCGCAGAGCTGAGGAAAGAAAGGCTGGAGGAGGCTGGGAGGTTACTCCCTGCGTTTATCATCTTGGTGACAATGCTGAGCTTGATCTGAGCTCATGGTTCTAGATTCCGGGAAACAGCTTACCACAAAGCACAACCCTTCCCTTTGTCATTCAGATGAGATTGTCCACTCTTTCCCGTGACTCCTGTGAGACCCACGGATGACCCTGTTTGCCTGTGACAAGGCCATCCACTGACCTTACCCACTGCACCTGAACATGCTGATAGGCCAGTCACAGACTCTCCAACTCCTCGTTCTTTGTCTCACGAATGATTAACTGGGATTACAAGTTTGTCCCTCTGAAACTAACTAGGCACACAGATGAATATAATCTGTTCAGCTGAGATTTCCGTGATTGTAAAACTATCCCCAGTGTAAAGTAACTCAACTTCTCTAATTCTCCCTATAAAAGTCTAAGGCAAAACCACCCTACAGAAACATTCTGTTCTTCATCTCTGGGGCGCTCTCTTCTTCGCAAAAACCTAACCAAAATCATCACCTCAATTATTTGCATTTTGCCTTTGACACCGGGAAGGGGCTCTGCAGAAGGAGGCTGGGGCTCACCTGCTTCGCCAGGCCCCACCTCCTCCGGGGTGTGGACGCCAGCTCTCACCACCTTGAACTTCTGGAGTCCCTCCTGGGCCTCGCTGAAGGACGAGAAGGGAGGATGGAACTCTGGCACCCCGGGCGTGGAGCGAGCCCGCCCACCGGCCCAGCGTGTAAACTTCCTCACCTGGTGTGGAGGCAGACCTGGGGCTCCATGTGGGAAGCATACTGCAGGGGCCCCACCGACTTGGCGCCCATCGCGTAGCGAGCCTTGGCCAGTGAGAGCCAGCCCTGCAGGGAGAGGAGAGCGGTGAGACTCAGTTTACCGCCGTGTGCCCTCCTGCCCGCCCCAGCCGCCTACCTCCTCCACCCGGGCGTTCAACACCGCTCGCTTCCCCTCCAGCTCCTCCAGGTCCCCAAGCAGCTGTAGGAGAAGTGAGTCTAGCTCCGCTCGCAGGTCAGGCGCCGCCATGGCGACACATTCGGGTCTGGAGCCACCTCCTTCCTAGTCCAATCACCGCCCCCAATTTGTCAGGACAGCCAATTGGCACAGGAGATCTTCTCTCAAGGGGCGTTTCCGGCCGGGGACCCCGACGCCCGCCGCACCTACGCGTCCCGGTCTGCTCCTTTAAGGGCAAGCGGCCTTAGAGAAGCATTACGGGGACAACCGATCAACGGCCAGCTGGACTGTCGCCTAGGGTGACAGGTGGTTCTGAGTCGCTTCCGGAAGCTGCGGAATCTCAGAAGTCCGGCTACTGCTGTGGCGATGGAAGATAGGCGAAGCTGTACAGCAACCATTTTGATTAAGGGAAGAATCGTTTTAAAGTTAACGGGAAGGAGCCGGCAAGCAACCTCCAGATCAGTTGGTGTGCCGTTTTTACAGTTAATGAACTGTTTCGAGCTGCCAATTATGATTGTTTTGGCGGTTCGGCATCTCAGAACTGCATTCTGCACGGGCGTGGTGGTGAAGCTGCAGGCGGACATCTTTATCAGCTGCAGTCCTAAGCCACGTGACAACATTCTGTATCCAGTCTATTGGTTGTCAAGGAGCACGCGCTGCTGGAATGGCCAATCGCCTTGCGACGCCTCCCCACCCCGCCCCGCGCTGTCGCCATCTTAACATAGGGCATTCGCGACAGCTGCAGGCACCAGTGAAGTGTCTAAGGGACTTTCTTGGTTGAGGGCGGAAGTGAGGACTATTCGCACAGGCGGAGCCCACAGATTTTCCCGGACCCACGTGGAAGCGGCGTTCAAGATGGTAAGAGGATGTTTGCGCTCCTGTTTCGGAGGTCCAAGGCGCGCGAAGTGCTGGGGGTGTGGCCCTGGGGCCGCGGGGCTCGGGGCTTCCAGGGGATTTGGGGCCCGGGAGCGAGTGGTGACTTGGTCCGCTGTTCTCACAGCTGCGCCGCGAGGCCCGCCTGCGCCGCGAGTACCTGTACCGCAAGGCCCGCGAGGAGGCGCAGCGCTCGGCCCAGGAGAGGAAGGAGCGGCTGCGGCGCGCGCTCGAAGGTAGGGCGGTCGCCCCGCGGGCGTCTGCGCGGTAAAACGCCCGCAAGCCTTTGTGTTCGGATAGCCGAGCGTCTTTCCAAATGCTTGCCGGCCGTTTTCCTTGCCCGTTGGGTTCTCCTGTTGTCTCCTGTTGGTTTTGAAAGTGTTCCTTCCGTGTGATGGTGTTAATTACTTGTCATTGACGCTGCAGTACCCGGGTTTTCCAGCTTGCCCACAGCGTACAGTGGGACAAGTTTTTCCCAAGTTTTAGACTTTACCTTGTTCTATAGAAATTCCAGAGACTATCTGGATAGCGCTGGTGCTGCAGACTGTGCTGCCCATTCTCCCCACAGGAGTTCGTTCGGGCGCCGTAGAGAACAGTGCTGGCCCGGAGCGCTGTCCTCTGCGGTGGGCCCGCTGAAGCCGTGCCCTCGAAGCAGTTTGGGCATCGTGACCAGCCGTTTTGCTGTCTGAGAGCTTAATTGCCTCTGGTCCACCTTCATACATACAGAGCAGTCTATATTTCTTTTAAAAAGTAATTTTTAAGGCCGGGCTCAGTGGCTCACGCCTGTAATCCCAGCACTTAGGATCACATGAGTCCAGGAGTTCGAGACCAGCCTGGCCAACATGGCAAAACCCTGTCTCTACAAAAATACAAAAATTAGCCGGTATAGTGGCACATGCCTGTAATCCCATCTACTTGGGAGGCTGATGCAGGAGAATCGCTTGAACCTGGGAGGCAGAGGTTGCAGTGAACTTAGATTGCACCACTACACTCCAGCCTGGGCAACAGAACTAGACTCTTACTCAAAAAAAAAAGAGAGCCGGGCGCGGTGGCTCAAGCCGGTAATCCCAGCACTTTGGGCGGCCGAGGCGGGTGGATCACGAGGTCAAGAGATCGAGACCATCCTGGTCAACATTGTGAAACCCCGTCTCTACGAAAAATACAAAAAATTAGCTGGGCATGGTGGCGTGTGCCTGTAATTCCAGCTACTCAGGAGGCTGAGACAGGAGAAGTGGCTGAACCCAGGAGGCGGAGGTTGCGGTGAGCCGAGATCGCGCCATTGCACTCCAGCCTGGGTAACAAGAGTGAAACTCCGTCTCAAAAAAAAAAAAAAAAAAAAAAAGAGAAAGAAAAGTAATTTTTAGGTTTTTTTGTCTGATAATTAAAACAATGTAATATTTTAACAAAGTCCTCAAATTGTGAGACTCAAGAAAATGAAGTCCCAGTAACCACTGTTTATGGGTTGGCCAGTAGACAGAAAATTTTGTCACCTCTATCCCTGCTGTATCCTAGCCTAGAAAGGACTGAGGTATTTTTACTTGGAAGTGTGTACAGGCTTGTAAGCTGCAGTGTATTGTATGAGCTGAGGGCTCCAAGCTTATGACCTACTCAACCCTTCTCTCTTCCCCTTGCAGAAAACCGCCTGATTCCCACTGAGTTACGCCGCGAAGCTCTGGCCTTACAGGGGTCCCTGGAGTTTGATGATGCTGGCGGTGAAGGTAACTATACAGGGTAGCCCTCTCCAACACTGAGCAAGCTGGTCTCCACTCCTTCCTCAGACATGCCGGGCACTGTCCCATTGGAGGAAACTGCTCCTGGAACTGTCCCCCATGCCCTGTGTCTGCACAGATAGCATCGCAGGGCTCTCCCTGAGTGTGCCCTGTCCTACTTACATGGCACACATGGGAGTGCCCCACTGACTCCCCACCTTGTTTCTTAATTACCTCCCTCACTGGAATGTCTGCAGGGCAAGACAGTGTCCCTCACACATCATTGGTGCCCATACGTTTAATTCACTGCATTATTCAGGAAACAAGAAAGGAATCCTAAACATTATAGATACTTGTTATGAGGGAAAGGAGTTTGTCACTATTGGCCTTAGTGGTGTGTGAACTTCGTTATCTCATACAGTAGCTGCTAGCCCCATGTGACTGACATAGCTTAAGTGAACTACAGCTAAACAAAAGATTCCGTTTCTCAGCCGTACTTGTGCTTGGCAGCCGGAGTAGTTGGAGGCTGCCCTCTTGCCCAGCGTGGGTGTGGAGCATTCCTATTGTTGAAGGCTTCATCAGACAGCACCATCCAGGCGGTCTTGGCTGCCCCCAGGTTAGCATTTCACTCCCAAGCCTGTCATATTCTTTCCCCTCCCTCATGGTCCTGACAGGCGTGACCAGCCACGTGGATGATGAATACCGATGGGCAGGAGTCGAGGATCCCAAGGTCATGATCACTACCTCCCGAGACCCCAGTTCTCGCCTCAAGATGTTTGCAAAGGTACTGTTGGGCAGGGAGTGAGGGGGAGATGCCCAGGACACAGTCCCAGTTCTGAGTGCCCACTGCCATCCGTGTCCAGGAACTGAAGCTGGTGTTCCCGGGAGCCCAGCGAATGAACCGAGGTCGACATGAAGTGGGGGCGCTGGTGCGAGCCTGCAAAGCCAACGGCGTGACTGACCTGCTGGTCGTCCACGAGCATCGAGGCACACCTGGTGAGGCCAGAGGGAGGGAGTAGGGATGGGAGAGGGAGCGGTCGAAGGTTGACGGAGACTCTGACAGCCACCTTTCCCCACCAGTGGGGCTCATCGTCAGCCACCTGCCCTTTGGCCCTACTGCCTACTTCACACTGTGCAACGTGGTCATGCGGCATGACATCCCAGACCTGGGCACCATGTCGGAGGCCAAGCCCCACCTCATCACACACGGCTTCTCCTCCCGCCTGGGCAAGCGGGTGAGTCTGGGGGCCTTTGGGCCAGGGCTGCAGGCCAGGCCAGGCATTTTCCACTCCCTTCCCTCTCTTTCCTTGTGGTCCAGGTCTCTGACATCCTCCGATACCTATTTCCTGTGCCCAAAGATGACAGCCACCGGGTCATCACCTTCGCAAACCAGGACGACTACATATCATTCCGGTGGGTCCACGGGCCATGCCCCAGGTGTCCCCTCCCTGTGTACCCTGTGCTGCTTGCCATTGACCCACAACTCTTCCCTCCCAGGCACCATGTGTACAAGAAGACAGACCACCGCAACGTGGAGCTCACTGAGGTCGGGCCCCGATTCGAACTGAAGTGTGAGTTTGAGGCCAAATCCCGTGTCTGGGGCTGGGGGGTGAGACTGGCTGTGCCGGGGCTGATGGCTTTCCCTGCCTGCAGTGTACATGATCCGCCTGGGCACGCTGGAGCAGGAGGCCACGGCAGACGTGGAGTGGCGCTGGCACCCTTACACCAATACCGCACGCAAGAGGGTCTTCCTGAGCACCGACTGAGCCTACTCATCACTTAGTCAGGATGTGGACTTGGAACTCAGGACGGGGACTCTCGTAGACAGACCCGCCAGGAGGGGCTCACCGACAGGCCCACTGAGCTGGGATGTGGAACTGTGGCTGGTGAAGAGGTGTTAATAAACCTTCTGCGTCACGTGGCCCCGCCTCTCTCTGAGTGGTTGGGCCAAGTCTGCAGGGTAAAGCCCATGGGGTCCCTTTGCGTGGGGACCCGATGGCTGTGGGATGTTCTCCGGCCTGGAGTCAATGTTGGGGTTAACCTAGTCAGAGATTTGTTGCTAATGCCCCCTCAGAAGTCAGGGTCATATGAGCGCCTCCGCAGGCAGGTGCAGGTAGCAGGGCCAGCCTGTGTCACCAGCAGCACACCAAGTTAACTCACTGAGTGGGAGCCACCAGTTTGCCAGCACAGGGGGAACAGACCACACACGGTGCTCAGCAGGTTGGCTCCCTTGCCCTTGAAGGGGACATGGTGATGCTAAGAGACTGCCCACTGCGCCTCTAGCAACCCTGCGAGGGGTGGTTATTCAAAGTCACACAGGAGGGCCAGCGCAGCCCAGAGTCTCCCGCTGGCCTTGCCACACTCACATTTCCTTGGCCCCTGTTCCCTGCATGTACCATGGGCCCTAGTCTGCAGAGTGGGTGTTGAGGCCTTGCAGGATGCACTGGGGTTTCCAGGGAGGGAGTGATGACAACCAGAAAGGGATCTGCTGCACCAAGCAGGGAGAGGCCTGTGAAGAAAGGTGGGGCAGGGTGCGGTGTAGGGACAGGGCGGTGGCCTCTGCACACATGTCCTGGGCTGAGCGTAAGTGTGTGGCAGCGCTGGCCACCTGCATGACCCAAGCAGAGGGCCCTCAGGTGGACAGTGTTCATGAGGTCCAGAACAGGAGCCGCCCAGTGGGAGAGGTGGGCAGGGAACCTCCAGGGCATGGTGTTCCAGGAGGGCTGCAGTTGGGACTTCGAAGAGCCTTTGTGTGACTTCTGTCCCTACTCCCATGAATCCACTTCCTTCTGCACGGCCTCCCAACTTGTCATCTCACTCCACCTGTAACAAATGTGCCATTAGGTTTTCTGTGAATTGTGAACATTTCAAGATACATACAAAAGTAGAATCATGTCCTGTGTGTGTTTCCCGTGGCTGCAATGAGTTACCCCGGACTATGTGGCTTAAACAACAGAAAATGATTCTCACAGTTCTGGAGGCCAAAGTCCGTGATCTGGTTGTGGGTTCGATCCCACATCGTGGACTTTTGCCTTAGCGTGCCGCCTCTTCCATCTGCCAGATCACCTCTGTGTGTCTCCTAACAGACTCTTCTCACTGGGTGGAGGGCCGTGGGATAATCCAGGATGAACTCTATTTCAAGATTCTGAACTTGATTACCTCTGCAAAGACCCTTTTTTCAAGTGTCACATTCACAGGCTCCAAGAGTTAGGGTGGATGACATATCTCTTGAGGGGGCTATTTGCCTTGCCACCTATCCGCATAACCACCTTCAGTAGCCACATGTGCTGTGTACCCATTAGTGACTCAGCCACCAACTCAGTCATCACGTCGACAGATCACAGAAAGAGAAAGGGTGAGTACCATGCAACAGGATACTTGGAGAAAGAGACCCTATTTACGTCACTTTTATTATGGCACATTGTTAGAATTGTTCTACTATTACTGTTCGTCTCTTCCTTTGCCTCATTTATAAATTAAACTTTATCATAGGCATTTATGTACAAAAAAAACTATATGGGGATTGCTGCTATCCACAGTTTCAGGCACCCACAGAGGGTCTTGGAACTTACCCCTATGGATGAGGGGGGACTGTGAATATTGTTGCGTGGTATTATGGCTTTACTGTGGTTTACTTTAGAAAATCTTATTTTTTTAGAGACATACGCTGAAGTATTTGGGCGTGAAATATCAGCTTGGTATTTGCTTGAAAATGCTTCCGCAGATGGGGATGAAAGTAGCCAAAGCAAAACACTGTCAGACTTAGGGACTCATACAGGAAGCTTGTTTCTATCCATCCCTATGTGTACTTTAGATTTTTCATAATAGGGAATTAAAAGGAGATAATTAAACAAGCATTTAATTTTTAATTTGATATTTAATATTTTTGTTTCAAATTATTTAAAATACTCAAATAAGAAGTTCCCAGTGGAGACCTGCCAACCGTAATGGTGGTTGGAAGCCACTAAGTGGTGAGCCAAGGGAGGATGGAGTGTGTTCCACCTCTGCCTATTTGAAAGTTTCAGGAGTGAGAATACATTGTTACTTAAACCCAAAAAAAAATAAAAATTAAAGCACAGCATGAAGTGCGTTTTAGACATATCTGTGGCCCACTAAACTGGCTGCAGTCAACTGTCCAGTGTTCTTTCCTGGGGTACATTCCTAGAAGTGGAATTTCTGAGCCGGGCGCGGTGGCTCAAGCCTGTAATCCCAGCACTTTGGGAGGTTGAGGCGGGTGGATCACGAGGTCGAGAGATCGAGACCATCCTGGTCAACATGGTGAAACCCCGTCTCTACTAAAAAAATACAAAAAAAAACTAGCTGGGCGTGGTGGCCCGTGCCTGTGATCCCAGCTACTTAGGAGGCTGAGGCAGGGGAATTGCCTGAGCCCAGGAGGCGGAGGTTGCGGTGAGCCAAGATCGCGCCATTGCACTCCAGCCTGGGTAACAAGAGCGAAGCTCCGTCTCAAAAAAAAAAAAAAAAAAAAAAAAAAGAAGTGGAATTTCTGATCCAAAGAGATGCACACATCTAAGCTTTTTGAACTACCAGAAAGTTTTTAGCATGAGACTGTTGTTACCTCTCTCTAATTGGCAAGGATGAAAAAGTTTGAATACGGTTGGTAAAGGTACGGCGATGAGCTTGTAATAGGTGCAGAACTTTAGAGGGAATTTTTGAGTAGCCCTAAAAGTAATCCTGTACACTAGTCTTTGATTCAGGAGACAGACTTCTAGGAATGCCCAATGGGCACACTCTCTCGGGGGTACAGGGGTGACCTTTGTAACAGCAAAAAAGAAGCATCCTAGTTCCCATCGGCAGGGCTGCAACTGCAGAAATTCGGGTGCACCACAGAGCCAGGCACTGCAGCTGCTGACATAGCCTTTTCTAAAACATGGAAAAAGCTGTGCATATTGTATGCCACTTGATGAGTTTGGAAATAGGTATATACTCCTGAAACCACCACAATCTGCCATAAACATCCATCACCTCCACAATTTCCTCCCGCCTATTATGATGATGAGGATGATCATTCTGTGTTATTTTGTGATAAGAACACTTCACATAAAATCTATCCTCAGCAAAGCTTAAGTACAGCTAACAGTATTAGTAACTATAGTAGACACTGTGTTGTACAGTAGGTCTCCAGGACGGACTTACTTCATATGACAAACTATCACCAGTATCTCCCCATTTTCCTCTCCCTAGTCCCTGGCAACCACCATTCTACTCAGCTTCTAGGAGTGTGACTATTTTCGATTCCTCATGTAGGTGGCATCACAGTGGTATCTGTCCTTCTGCGACTGGCTTATTTCTGCTAACATAATGTCTTCCAGATTCCTCCATGTTATTGCAAATGACAGGATTTCTTTCTTTGTAAAAAATATATATGCCACATTTTCTTACCCATCCTTTCATCAGCAGACACTGAGATCGTTTTCATAGTTTGGCAGTTGTGGAAAATGCTGCAACAAACATGGGAGTATCTCTTTAGGATAATGATTTCATCTCCTTTTATTTTTTTTCAGACAGAGTCTCACTCTGTTGCCAGGCGCCAGGCTGGAGTGCAGTGGCACAATCTCGGCTCACCGCCTCCCGGGTTCAAGCAGTTCTCCTGCCTCAGCCTCCCAAGTAGCTGAGACTACAGGCACGCGCCACCACGCCCAGCTAATTTTTGTATTTTTAGTAGAGACGGGGTTTCACCATGTTGGCCAGGATGGTCTCAATGTCTTGACCTCGTGATCCACCCGCCTCCCAAAGTGCTGGGATTACAGGCTTGAGCCACCGTGCCTGGCCTCATCTCCTTTTTATGTGTATTCCCAGAGTGGGATTGCTGCATCAAATGGTAGTTCTATTGTTAATTTTTTGAGGAACTTCCATACTGCTTTCCATAAAGGCTGTACTCATTTCCATTCCCACCAACAGTTCGCTAGGGTTCCCTTTTCTCTGTAGGCTCGCCAACATTTGTTACCTTTTGTGTTTTAGTAATAGCCTTCCTACCAGATAGGAGGTGATCTCTCATTGAGGTTTTGATTTGCATTTCCCTAACGGTGATATACAGCATGTTTGCATTCACTGGGTCATTTGTTCTTTGTTGTTGACTTAAGTCCCTTAATATTTTGGTTACTGCTCTGGCCTGAATGTTTGTGTTCCCCAAAAATTCATATATTGAAATTTCATTCCTAGGGTCGACAGTTGGAAATTATTAGGTCATGAGGACTCTGCCCTTGTGCATATAATTAGTGGCCTTATAAAAGAGGCCCGAGTGAGCTCTTATGTCCCTCCTGCCATGTGATGACACAGCTAGAGGCTGCCATCTGTGAACCAGGAAGCTCCCCTCACCAGACACATAATCTGCTGGGGCCACCATCTTGGTCTTCCTACCCTCCAGAGCTGTGAGATATAAATGGCTGTTGTTTAAGCTACCCAGTCTGGTATTTTGTTACAGCAGCCCAAACTGAGACAGATAGTAACCCTTTATCAGATATACGGTTTGCAAACAGCTTTTCCCATTCTGTAGATGCAGCCATTGAGAAGCTCCTTAAGATAGATGTTAAATAAAAACTCGCAGGCCAAGGCGGGCAGATCACGAGGTGAAGAGATCGAGACCATCCTGGCCAACATGGTGAAACCCCATCTCTACTAAAAATACAAACAAAAAATAGCTGGGCATGGTGGTGCACACCTGTAGTCCCAGCTACTTGGGAGGCTGAGGCGGAAGAATCACTTGAACCCAGGAGGCAGAGGTTGCAGTGAGCCGAGATTGCGTCATTGCAGTCCAGCCTGGTGACACAGCAAGGCTCCGTCTTAAAAAAAAAAAAAAAAAAAAAAAAAAAAAAAGCATGGTGTGAAACGCCATGTGTAATGCGCTGTCAGTGTACAGAAGAGGCAGGGAGGGCCCTGCACTTAGGTGTATGTGCCGCATCATC